TACAAGGCCATGGGTTCCACCTCCAACACAGAGAGGAGAAAAAAATAGTTGATGTTAAAAATTAAAAGGACAATAAAAGGGAAATATTTAGAGAACACAGCAATAACAATCAAGATTACTTTCTAATAATAACAATTATAATGTGGATAGCCACCTGAATAAGCAGCTGTTTCTAAACTAATGGTTATGGCTCCAAGTTTGCTTATACTTTTCATTCTAATAAATCTGTATATACACACAAGCTATTTTTACATGTAAGTATGTATATTTACATTTACTATGGAATTTCAGAATATTAAGATCAAGGCAGAATACAGATTTTTGAATCTACTTATGAAACATATCTGTAACTAGGATCTCATTTCCTTCTTAAGTGGTCCAATTTTCTAGGCAAAGTAAGAGTGTCCATATGACATCAACTCACAACATTTTAGCTTACAACATCAATAATTAATTATCTTTCTTATTAATGGCTTTATTTACAAATAACATACTAAGTGGTGAAAATTCTGAAATATATTAACCCAGCAGGCAAATTTATTCTTCAAATATAGTCAATTCAAGAATGAAATTCAAATCACACAGCATTAAGTACTTTCTAGTACAAGGAAATAAGTTATAATAAATTCAACAGGATATATAATTCTGTTGCTATTAATTAGTTTTTTAAAAACAATATTCTTCAAAAAATCATATTTCCAATTTTCAAGTTCTAACACTTCTAAGAAAAAGGCATGGCTTTTTCAACATAATCCTACAGACTTCTTCATCTAGGATATTATGTTCCCCTAAACCAAATGATAGCACACAATGTTAAATTCCCTCAAGAAATAAGACCTCAGCAATAAAGAAGAGGTGTACCTTTGGCTAGATATGATTATATACAATGATATGCAAATTATCTAGCACAATTCCAATAACAAAATGGAAACTCGAAAATAATAACATTTTCTTCACCCCAATTTTTGTATGTTTTTGTTGTTATGGATGATTTAGAAACTCCTTTGAGGTTAATTTAAATGACTGAGAGGTCTAAAATGAAAGATGGCTGTTCTTTGGTTACCAGACATTAATTTAATTGTCAAGTATTCTCTTTTACAGTGTAAACGGCACTCAATTAGGTTCTTTCAACATAGAAAACACAGATTATACACTTGAGATTTAATAATTGCCATGGCACAGAATTCAAAGCTCTTTAAAAGAAGTTTATTATATGGATCACTTTGTGTAAAGTTATAAACTTAAATTTTAGCCTTAAAAACCTACAGTGATCCAATTATTAGAGATATTCAACACAGATTTCTATTATACATGCTTTGACTGGGTACACCATACATCTTAAAAACTGTTTGGAAGTATACTTCTAAAAAGAGCAATAATATATAATTTTGGAAATAAAACACCAAATTTATGAAAATAAAAAATTATAAACTAGTTATGAATATTCTCTGAATCATAAAACTATAGTTTATTTAATTCATTACTTAGCTCAAAAATTTGAATAAAAAATTTTTTAAAGATGTGAAAGTCACTTTAACACAATATCATATTTTGTTATAAACTTGTACATATAGTATGATATACCCAAATGAAGACAGTCTGGGATAGAAATAATTTGATTTCTTAAAATTTCTTAAAATGAACTAACAGTTACTGTTGACTTCTGTGAAAGAATTCCTATTACAAATAAATTAAGTAAACCCAAGGATAAAAACTTGAAAGACAATACATTAAAAGTAATACTTAATTGTATGGCATGTGAATTCTATCTTAATAAAGCTGTTTTGTTTTGTTAACAAAAACCTGCCACACCTCATTTCAAAACCACAAATTCTGGTACACAACTGTTTCAATTCTCCTAAATATTACCTCAATTTTAGTTCTTCTTAATCCATATCACAATAGGATTCTCAATAATGCCTTTTTCTCTTGGTCAGCTCCTTATATTGCCCACCCCCTCAAAAAAAAAAAAAAAAAACCCAAAATACATCAATTCATTTGGATATGCTTCTTATTTAAGAAAAATGGCCCCAGTTTTAACTACCAAGAATCTACAATAGTGTTCAAAAAAAAACGTTTTAGTTCTAAAGTTTTTATTCACTAATATACTGAACCTTAACTCTCTACTACCTTTACAGGAGATAAAGGGGAGGCAAACAAATTTTGGACTGATGGCTACATCTTCCCTATTCTGAAACTTAGCTCCACTGAAAGGAAAGAAATTTCCCCTGGGATTCACAGGATCAAAAAGATGTTATTGTTGAGAGCATGTAAAGATGTAAATAGTATAGAAGCAAAAAAAAAAGTTGAGAGACACTCCGTTACTCAGTATTCTGGATTGTGGATTAGCAGCATATTTATTCATGCACTCAGAAATATGTGCAGGGGGAAAAAAATCTACATTGGTGAATCTGAGAAACATGTTTGCAATAATTAAATAACAAAGAATGTCCATGAACACCCATATGCCCAGCCTCCATATTTTAAAATTTAAATTGATTTAAAACTCGTGAAACACAAACCTTTATGGCAGAACTAGAAGTCTGTTCCCACCAGGCCCTCATACCTGATAGCAGCCAATCCGGCTCCTTCAAAATTCTGAAGAATTAACTATATAAGAGTCATCATTTTTATGCATTTCATATTTAAACAGCAAAAGCTACATTGTTTTTTAAATTCACAGAAATTTAAATTAATGTGCATTTCCCTAGACATCTAATCTTTTGGCCAGGAAAACATTAAATAACTTGGTAATATACTTCAAATCTCTCTTTTTTATATCACCAAGGGCATTAATATGTCAAATAAAAATGTGACTCTAATGATTTATATAACAGATTTCCCTATAATAATTATTTTGTAATTTAAACCCCTTTAATCTCTAACAGTATAAAATACAGAAATCATTCTACCAATATGACATTAGAATACCAGAATAAACTATATTGGTTACTAAAATTAAATTATATTTAATAAAATATTACAAATGATAGTTTTATAGATCACCAAAGCTTTGTATGAATAAAATAAAACTACCAAGGTGACCTCTATACTCTCTTCATCATCTTTATTATGTCAATAATTTCAAGATGATAAGAATTTATTACTTCGGAATACTTCCTTTGCTCAAATCTCTTATTTTCATGATTTTTCAACTCAAAATTTCAATCTAACTTTATCTGAAGATAATTTTCTCAGCTATATTGGGGGTGAGGGTAATATTTCATTAGTGACTTAAAATTAAGAACTTGTAATATTTACATATAGGAATTTTTGAAATTTAGTTTGGTATTATTTAAAAAGAAGAGTTGTTCTTTTCCCAAACCTAGCTAACATTTTTTCAGTTTTTAAAAGGAACTGGATCTACTATAAACAGATGTTAAAAAGCACAGAAGAAACAGACTTTTAGTTCTATACAGATTCAACATGTCTTTAAAAAACAATCTCAAAAAATACAAAAGAAATCAGTTAGTCAATTTCTACATGTGGATTTAAAGTGAAATACTTTATAGAAATATATTATTTCACATTTTATAATTTGATGTAATTTTTAAAACTAGATTTAAACTCATCAAAAATATTTAGAGCCATTTTATAACCCAGTGGATATAATGTGAACCAGGTCATTTTCTCAATTTGATTACTAAAAAGTTAACAAATTCACAATTAAATCCACAGAAACTGTTAGAAAATGTCTGGCAACACATGAACAGTGAGCAGGGCTGATAAGTTTCTTTATCATATTTAAAGTTTTCCTGCCCTCAATCAGGAAGGTGTCATACTGCACTATACAGTTTGGGAAACATTTAAACCACTACCTTCCACTTCACTGTTCTATTTTTGAAACAAAAAGAATTAACTGAAAACAATGGTCCGATGGACTTAAGATAAGAGGTATCATACCTATTAGGTAAGAAACCTCTAATTAGAAGGACAGATAAAACTTCAGATTATATAATTTTTTTCCAGAACTTCAGATTATATAATTTTTTTCATTTTTCATATATACTTAGCAATGTATAAAATCCCAACTTAAAATTAGTTGGGCAAGCTAATATTATGGAAAGCATTCATACTAATTTATCATTAATTAAGACTTTTTTTCTAGTTGCTTATCTGTCAATCTTTTATTGCAATTCAAAATAAAATTTGGAACCAATCTTACATAGTTATAAAGTGTATGATTTGAGAGCTGAGTAAAAATAAAACTTGAACAATTTCAAACATTACTTTCTATAAGCTTTCATTGATAGAAGAAATGTCTTTACATAAATATTATATTTATATTCAAATCTTTGATAATTTTAGATGAATTTAAAATAGAAAAACCACATATATTTTTTAATGTAGAGAAAGATTAAAGTAATGTGAACAAAAAAGGGACTTGAGAGGCTTGAGTCCGTTTTCAGAATCTATAAAATATTTTTCTCTTTAAGCAGGTGTTTAAAAATAATTGTTAAAAAGACAGCTGAGTAAGGTGGCCCAAACCTATTTTCTCAGTGACTTGGGAAGCTGAGTTATGAGGACCACAAGTTTAAGATCAGACTCAGCAATTTAGCAAGATCCTCAACAATTTAGTGAGACACCGTCTCAAAATAAAAAGTAAAAAGGGCTGGGAACACCAGCACAGTGGTAGAGCAACTCTGGGTTCAATCCCCAGTATCACACACACAAAAAAAGGTTAAATAGAAATTCAAATATAATTTTCTATCCATAGCTTAGTATTTAATCTATTTATGTGAAGCCAACAAAAATTTTAAGCTAGTTCCCATATTTGAAAATAAGATCCATTTTAGAAGATGGTACTTATTATTTTCTAAAATAATAATTACATTAAGAAAATTATATTGAAAAAATTTAAGTTTAAAGGTATACACTTTAAAACCTCCTAAAACAAACCCTCAAATCACACTCTTTTTGATATGAACTTTGCCAGCACTGTTCATGTTGGCCAGATAATATCCTAGGTGTCTTTTAAGAAAGTAAAATGAAATGCATACCAGCAGCAACTACAGCTGGAGGAGGCGAGCCTGCCTCACCACCACTTGTCTGACTCATTGATGCTACAGATGTTTCACTAGATGGAGGTAACTGTAACTCCTTTGGGAGAAGATCATAGACAGATTCTGTGGAGAGAAATGAAAGGAGAAAGACAGTTTTAAAGAGTCATTTAACAACCTAATTACATGCGCATGAAATGAATATTATTTCTCTCACAAGAATGTTATTCACAAAAAAACAATACCATATCTCTATAAAGAATTATTAGCATTTTTTTTTCTTTTAGTATAATTTTCCATTCATTCTGCTTTCTGACTTTCTGGCTTTATTCCTTGGGTTCAAGAGAATCTCTAGAAAGTTATTAAATTTTTAAAGTAATTAAAACTAGACAGAGAAAATATGTTAAACAACCTAAGATTGTACAATTATTCCTTTGTAATAGTACAAGTGTAACTTGCTATTCTTTACATATAAGATGGAATATAGCATATATCAGTTTTAAATTGGCTTTTCTAATTAGTCCATTAGTGTGGCTCTTTTACTCAACACCCATTCGCAAACAGTATTTTAATCCAACACCATCATAATTCATTTTTCATGTCTGAAAAAAAATAAAAAAGGAATGTCATGCCCAAGGAAATACTTCCTATTTTCTGAGGCATCTCTGACTCTGGAAAGGCACAGGTATGCAATGCTTTTAAATCAGGGAGCTTACAAATACCTATTTAAGATTATGATTATTTTTGTATCCCTGATTAAAGAGTACTCTATCTATAGAAAGTATTTGATAATAATTTAATTGTCCATAAAATTTGTATCTGCTACTTTAAAATTGTTTTCTTGGGGCTGGGGATGTGGCTCAAGTGGTAGCGTGCTCGCCTGGCATGCACGGGGCACTGGGTTCAATCCTCGGCACCACATTAAAAAAAAATAAAAAATAAAGATGTTGTGTCCACCGAAACCTAAAAAATAAATATTAAAAAATTCTCTCTTTCTCTCTCTCTCGCTTAAAAAATTTGTTTTCTGATTATCATTATATATTTTTCAGCTTTTTATATGTTGTTATGTGGAAATAATTTTTAAGATATTGTCTAAAGGTACTAAAATCAAAGTTGGAAGGAACTTTTGAAAGAGCAGTTAGAAGCATATGCCTATTTTCAAAAGAACTAAGGCACAAAGGCCCAATATTCCAAGAAACCTAACACTCCATAATTAAAGATTATTATCTACATGAGTGACAAAAAAAAGTTAGCATTACTAGACAGCTTATCCTTGATAACACTTTTAGTTAACTGATTACTAAATTCATAAATAGTTTGGTCATCACAGATAAACACTAAAGGATGTACCCTAACTTTGATATGGATAGGGATAAGGAAAAAAGTCAAGAAGGGAAGCTAAAATAGAAGTTACATAGTTAAATGATTTTCATTTACAGTAGAGAATAAACTTAAAAAACCCTATTACCTAACACTTGAAATGTTCATCTTCACAGCATCTAGATATTCAGCATCTGTCTGACTGAATATAACATGCCTGGTTGCAACTTTTCAGCTTATTATATGTTGCTAAACACCTTAAGGAAATTATTTCTAGCTTTCAAATAATACAGGAGAAGGGGAGATAGAATCTAATTAAATGACATTATCAACAAATATTCATTTTAATATAGTTGTCTTTCTTACTCCTTGAAAACAAAAAGTTCTTTAGATATGCCAGGCATGGTATAGTATAGATATAATCCCAAATACTAGGGAGGTTGAGGCAGGAGGATTACAAATTTAAAGCCAGCCTGGGCTATTTAGAGAGACTCTGTATCAAAGTAAAAAAGGCAGTAGATATAGTTCAGTGCTATCACACCTGGCTATGGAATTTCCTCAGAGTACCACTGAGTTTATCCCCATGTCTCTGGGGACTGAACCCAGGGACACTTAATCACTTAACCACATCCGCAGCCCTTTTTATTTTTATCTTGAGACAAGGTCTTGTTAAATTGCTGAGGTTAGCCTTGAATTTGTAATCCTCCTGCCTCAGCCTTCAAAGTAGCTGGGATAACAGGCATGTGCCATCACACCTGGCTATGGAAATTTCTTTTAAATCTTCTTCCATCGATACCAAAATATTAAAGAAATATAAATTATGCTGTAAACACTATTTATTGTCTTGTGGTCCTAAATTCAAATAATCTCTACTAGTTAATGAAAAGAACTCCTGAACAAAAGAATACAGGTTCTTTAATTCTATGAAAATGACAGTCTTAAGTAAGCACTAGTCATTTCATGTTACATCACAATATCTATTTTTGCTATTTTATCTTTTAAATTAGTTTAGAAAGATAAGGGAACAATGAAGGTTTATAAAAAACAAAATATTTAGAAACAGAATGGGAAATCCATAATGGAAAGACAGCTTCTGAGAAAAGATTTCTTTTACAAAAGTCAGTAGTAAAATCAGTGGGGGGACATGGAGGGCGAAAAAATAAGATTTCTTTCTGGAGTGATAAAAATGTTCCAAATTAGATTACTCTGCAAATACACTAACAACTACTAAGTGTATTCCTTTAAATGGGTAAATTTTTAAAAAAAAATTTTTTTAGTTACAGATGGACACAATACCTTTATTTTATTTATAAGTTTTTATGTGGTGCTGAGGATCAAACCCAGTGCCTCATAGGTGCTAGGCAAGCCCTCTACCACTGAGCCATAACCCCAGCCCTATATGGGTAAACTTTTATATGTAAAGCATGAATCAATAAAGCTGGCTATTTTAACAAAAAGGGAGAGAAAGCACAAGTGAGAATTACCTAAGAGCAAGCAGTTTCTGATAAACTTCATGGACATTTGTAAAAAGCAAAATTGTGAAAAAGGCCAGATTACAAACCAATATGTCCTTTAAGGCTATTCTACTGAGGGCAAAGAAAATGCTGTAGGCAGAATTATACTAAATTAAGTGATAAAAATCTCAAAAAGTTTTTAAACAAGATGAAGAAGTGTCAACTTAATAAAATAGATGAGTTTTAACAAACAGCACTCAAAAAGTAAAAGTTCAACCTGAGGGAGGTTGGTTATTATACTAACAACTTGAACAAGGATTTCAAACCTGGAAATGACAGAGGTTTAAGAAGGATATATTGTATATTTCATAATTCATCACAAATAATGATTAACTAAAGTACATACCCCTAACGGAATAAGGTAAAATTTAATGAAGATTATATAGCTGATCAATGGGGCTGAGGTTGTGGCTCAGTGGTAGAGTACTCGCCTAGCACGTGCAAGGCCCATGAAAATAAATAAATAAAATAAAGGTATATTTTAAAAAGTATTTATATATATATATATAATGGCTGATCAAAAAGTTCACAGCAGCTGGACACAGTGGTGCATGTCTGTAATCCCAGTAACTCAGAAAGCTGAGACAGAAGAATCGAATATTCAAGTCCAGCCTGGGCAATTTATCAAGACCCTATCTCAAAATTAAAAATAAAAAGGACCCTATCTCAAAATTAAAAATAAAAAGGACTGAGGTTGTAGCTCAGTGATAGAGCACTTATTTAGCATGTGTGAGGCACTGGATTTCATTCTCAGCACTGCATATAAATAAATAAAATAAAGGTCCATCAACAACTAAAAAAATATTAAAAAAAAAAAAAAAAGACTGGGGATACAGCTCAATGGTGAAGCACCCCTGAGGTTAAATCCCTAGTACCAAAAAAAAAAAAAAAAATTGCACAGCACTTATATGTGTTCATTTTCCCCTGCCATTTGTTAAATCTAGAAGTTCTTTTAATTTTGTTTTCTACGGGAAGTCTTTCATTAGCCTAACAATTGAGCTGGTTGTTTTCTTACATGTTTTTTTCTATTAATGCTGGTAATAATTTGTGTAATAATGTTTAAACAACTCATCTATGGTTCACTATGAATTTAAGTTGACCAAAATTCTAATGTAAGTACATTACTTAAGTATTAACATGTATTAATATAGGGTTTGAGAAAAGAAATTAAGCAGAAAAGGGTACAGATTCAGAATATCAAGAATTTGTCTTAGGGCTGGGGTCAAGTTTCAGTGCCTAGCATGTTTGAAGCACTGGGTTCGATTCTCAGCACCAAATTTAAATAAATGAATAAAATAAAGGTCCATCAACAACTTTAAAAAAAAAGAATTTGTCTTATATTGGTGCAACAGTGCTGAGCATAGGGCAACTGGAAGGAGGAATGAAGGAAATGAAACCACCATTCTCAAATATTAAGAACAAATTAATTCTTCCCAAGTGGAAAGGGTGGAAAGGCAACAATATAAAAATGGGTTGACATGGCTGGCTTGTTTGTTTGGTCATTCTGTAAACTCTAATTGATTCATTTATGTCACCAATTATTTCTGAATCAATTCAGTTTTTATTCTTCAACACGAGCAATGAGGGAGTGGACGAATTTCACTATAATACATCATGTTCAAAGTATACAGAAATTCTATCCTGAGGGCACAGGATAGTAAGAGAGAAAGAAAAAATTGATAAATTAATAGTTAAGCTTTTTTTTCAGTTGGGCATACTGTGACCACCTACATGCCATTCTCTGCTGCTTTATTCTGTTATTTCTTGTTCCAGGAAGATGTGAACCCCTGAAACACCCACACTTCCTCTCACTTTTTACTAAAATATATACTGTTTAAAAAATACAATAGAAGTAGAACTATTCATGAACAGGGCACAGCCTCAGAGAGCTGCTACAAAGCTTAAATAGGACAATTTTTGTTAAATTGTATACCACTAATGCTGCTGGTTCACATCTATACAGTGATTTTTTTTAAGTCATAATTGGACACAATACCTTTATTTTATTTATTTATTTTTATGTGGTGCTGAGAATTGAACCCAGGGCCTCGCTGTGCTAGGTGAGCCCTCTACCACTGAGCCACAACCTCAGCCCTATACAGAGGGCTTACATATATATTTAAAAATATATATAAGGAAAAAAGCAGTATATAAGATGTTTGGCTAGGCCCGATGGATCATGCCTGTAATCCCAGCAACTTGAGAAGCTGAGGCAGAAAGATGAAAGTTTAAGGCCAGTGAGACCCAGTCTCAAAAATAAAAAAGTCTAGGAATGTAGCTCAGCGGTAAAGC